CTGTCAACCCTGTATACCGAGGGGGTGGGAGTGATCCTTGCTGTCAAGATTTGTTCCCTTTTTTGAGCTACTACATCCATAAGTATAGGTAACGTTCAGCAAATTGTAGTGGGTTACTCATTTTTTTTCTTCCCACGTCTTTCTTCTTCTAGTTGAGTTCTGATCATCAAGCCATCGAAGCCAGGTCAAGTGGGTACTAGCTTCAAGTATTGGTGTTCCTGTGCATCTCCCCTCACTTCATATCAGCTGGACACCTCATTCTCTGCTCTAGTCCTCTGTGGCCATGTCACTGCCTCTGGGCCCAGGAGTCCCTGGGTCTTGCTGTACTGCTGGCCATCCGGGTCTCCACCCCAGTTTACAGAGGTTTATTGAGTGTGGTCGGACTTAGCTCCCAACTTCATTGCTATTTTTACCCCCTCTTCCCCTTATCGGTGACCGATGTGGTCACCAGCCAGACCACATGCCTGCTCGTGTATTCCCCTTGAGTCTTAGTCTTGGAAGGGAGTTGGCTGAGGGGTCCCAACCACTTGCCTTGATGGCTCCCGGGCGAACAGCTTACTTGTTCTTGTAGTAATCAATCAGACTGCTGTTATTGTTTTGGATTTTTCCTGCTGGTCTTTCTTCATGATGTATCTTCTGTTCTTGTAGCTGCTCCAGGGTGGTCTACTCTTTTCCGGTGGAAATTTCCCACCTCAGACAATTCTGGATGGGGTTCTGGTTTCCACCTCTGGTTTTATGCTATGCAATAGCTCCACAGGAGGCCTCTTTCACTGGGCAACTGCTAGCCCCCTTTAAGGTATCTCTATCAGTTATAGGCTGAAGAGGGACTTACAAGCTTTCTATTGTGATGTTTCTGGCTATTCCTTTTCCCTCTCCTCAAGTGTCTATTTCACAATGATAGGCAAGGGAAACGAAGATTCAAAAGACAGCCAAGCATCTTAACAGTATTCCCCTCTTTCACCCACTCAAACCATGCCTCTATCCCTGTATCCCGAAGCCCTGTTGTTCCAAGGTTGTGCATATATCATCATTTACCTCTGTCCCACTTAGCCCATGCAAACCTGCCTAACTGTTCTCCCATCAGCCTTGTTCTTCCACTCCCCTCCCCCTTCTTGTGTACTGCCCGCCCCCAGCAGCCAAGCTATCCTATGTCTATTCCCTACCCTGTGCTCTATCTTCCCCTCCCTCCCTCCCCTCCTCTCATCCCATACATCCTGGTGATCAGCAATTATATATATAGGTTTTTTTT